ACATACATACATACATACATACATACATACATACATACATACATACAAAATGATAAACACATGCAGACATCATAAAGGGGAATTATAAAACATTATGCTGAAAGAGTCTACTTATTCAATTAGATGTACGCAATGTTTAAAAGATAATATACGGTCAACAAGGGACTGATGTGATTTATTTTGTACAAGGTAAGCAGTACATATGATTAACCAATTCAGAGTTGTTCATAGAAATGATAATGTTTATATTATTGTTTTCTGAGAATAATGTGGAATCTGTACCCAAGGCTGAAAATTAGAATTGGATCACAAGGGTTTGAAATGACTGAATGAGCTTCGGACACTTCTTAAAAATCAACAAAAGTACAAAAAGTACTAAATCCAGTGATGTCACAAGGCATGCAGTGGGACACACCATCCACAGGTTCAGGTGTAACCTGAATCCATTATGTTTCATTTAAAAAAGCAATCATTCCAAATATAAGGAAGATATTCTTTTTAAAAGCGTTTCGCAACCAAACTTTGAACTTTTCTGAAAACAACTTTCTTTCGACATTTCTGGCCTCATCCTTTACGGGTACACCAGCCTTCCATAGTCTGCCTGGGGCTACAATGATCAACAATTCCTGGCTTGTTAAACAATTTGAGATGTTGGCATTGGCCTTTTCTGCGCTCTTTCCCAGAACACCCTCCAGACACCTACTTTTCTTTCATGACACTTCTTTTTATATTTTTACTGGAAGAAATTCTCAGGGGCATGGGGTCCATCCCCTGTTGCATTTCATTCTCCTCACCCTGTTCTTCATTAGCGAGTATAAGTCAGAGCTAGTTTGGAGCAGTTATTTTAGGCGGGCCAGAACCCCTCTTTCTCAGAATAATCCTCTGCTGCGGGCTTGAAACCCTAGCCGACTCTTGATATAGACCCACGGTCAGCACTGACTGATATAGGATTTTAGCACCTGAACACTCTCAAGCCTCCTACCCAACATGGGACCTGTTGAACTGGCTCACCCCACTGTTGCACACAAACAAACACACACACCCAGTCACCTCCCATGATGCCCTCTTATGATCTCTCTCACTTTTATGATTCTTTGCAGTGGTCTGTCTCTGATATCACGAGGGCACAATAAGCTGTATTTCCATGCTCTCACTGTTGCTTGCTCTATCTGTTTCTGTATCCCTAAACAGCTACAACAGATCTTTTAAACTCACAGTTTTAATACAGGTTTAGAACGTAATCTTTGGGATTTTAAAAACTTTACCCCGCCTGGTTGTTTGCTCGTGTCAGCACCTTTGCAGTATGTTTTAATCCTGACCCGCTTCACCTCAGCTAAGCTTAACAAAACATACTTCGGGACACAACAAGTAATTTCTTTCAGCTCCCTGTTTTTATGGCCTGCTTTTTCTTTTTCCATGCCCTCGCCTGCTTTCTTGTTTTCAGGAGCACACATAAAGCTGAAGAATTTCCAGGGGAATTGTTACAGACGTTTTCAGCTCCAACCTTTGTTTCAACGGACCAAAAGCCAGCACATGTGCAAAGTCGCTTCCACTTTCCGCTCTGATGTGCAGGCCTCAGGAGGTGGAGGTTTGCCATGGCCTCTAGAAGAGCAAAGTCCTTATGCGCATTTCTGTGTACTACAGGAACTAGTAATACAATAATAATTCATTAATGCACCTCACATTTACTTAAGCGCATGAACACCTCATTTGCATTACATTAATGGTGAAAATTAGCTTGCTTGTACCTTCATTTTAAAGGGACCAACATCAAACGATCTCACAGCGTTCTCACACAAACACCTCTACACGTGAACCTGAACATGAAAGGTGTGCCTCACGCACAGGTTGCTATTGAAAAAATCCACGGCACAATGCTACACTGCTCCCG